TTTTCTGAGATCCCCTTGCAGGTATTTATTACCATAACAAAATGTCAAGGCAATACACACATTGTCTTTCTTTATGGCAAAGAGTGCCCGTCAGATGTGCAATATTAGAAGTAGTGGGAATCTTCCATGAAATACAATGATTCTGTGTTTCAGGAAATATTGTATCTCTTGAATATGCTTAAAGAATGGGTTGCATTCTGTCAGGAGTTTGTGGAAAGGATGCCATATACAGATAGTGCCAGTGGCAATTCTGGTGTTGAAATTTACATAGCAGCCATTCAAATTCTGTTTTCTCTGAAATGACATTTTTCAAAACTGACAATTCTGCTGCATACAGGACCTAGGCATCAAGAACAATCATATGCAGTGTCTAATGAAAAAAGTCAAAGGAGGTAAGTATTATGCAAAACAGCGCTGACACATTCTTGGTTCTGTTAGCCGGATCCTACAGGCCAGTGCCATAGGGCTTTGTCTGCGGGAAGCAACAGGAAGTCAATGCAAATTGGGACTGTTTCTCAAGAAAGTAACCTGTGTGGAGAAGTATTTGTCTAGGGCCATGAAATGTCTTTTCATTCCTTCTTTCTGAAACTTGGGTTTCAGGTAAGGTTTTTGAAGGTGATGTGACTTGTGTTGATACCATGAAGAGGTGCATACGGGGAAGGCTCTTTTGGCCCATGTCACTGTGGCCTGTGTGTTTCGTAGGAGAACATGGACTGTGTGGTTCTGAGTAAGGAAAGTTGTTCTCCCTATCCCTTTTCATAATGACTGAAAAAATACGGGACCTGTGCAGCTGGCCAGGGAACACTGGTGCTTCTGTGGCCACTCCATCTGCTTGAAGCAGAAAACCCTGTGCTCTGTTTGTTTTGAATACTACACAGCACGCTTTAGGGCTTAAAGCTCTGGTTTCAGTGTCTGTGAAATTTGGACTTCATTCACATTTTACTGGGTTTTCAAGTGCTCTGACATTTTTGGCTTCTGAGTTAGGTGCCACATGTGGAAACTTTGCTGTGAAATGCATCAAAAACATATGCAGGGCTATGAAACAGGACTGCTCACAGCATTGCATGTTTAAATTATTTATGGAGTTTTTAAAAAAATTGTTTCACACTTTGCAGCACCTTGTGGGAGATGAAGAAATATACCACCACCTATGGTTTATGACTCAGGGATATAGGTCGGAGTCGATGCATGTTAGATGAAACTTGAGCTCTGTTTCTAAAATAATTTGTTCTTTGTCTCAAATCCAAGGAGTCTAATTTTTGCCTTAGTAATTTTATAAATTTCTCCTCACATTTTGAAAAATATTTACTTTGTTTTTATTTGAAAGTCAGAGTTACAGAGAGGGCCCTCTTCTGTTTGCTGCTTTACTACCCAAATGACTACAGTGGCCAGAGCTGGGCCAGTTCCAGTCGAAAGCCGGGAGCCAGGAGCCAGGAGCCAGGAGCCAGGAGCCAGGAGCTTCTTCTGGGTCTCCCATGTGGGTACAGGGGCCCAAGTACTTGGGCAACCTTAAACTGTTTCCCCAGGTTGCATTTGTAGGGTGCTGAACAAGACGTAGAGCAGCTGGGACTTGAATCTGCACCCATATGGAATATCATCACCAAAGACAAAGCTTAATGTTCTATACCATTTCCCTATTTCAACAGATTTCTTTCCTTTTATTTGAAAATCATTTCTTCTAGGTCCAGGTGCAAATGGTTCAGTGGCTAAATCCTTGCTTTGCCTGTGCTGGTATCCCATATGGGCATTGGCTCATGTACTGACTGCTTTACTTCTCATCCAGCTCTCTGCTTGTGGCCTGGGAATGCAGTAGACCATGGCCCAAAAGCACTGGGAACCTACACTTCCGTGGGAGACCTGGAAGAAGCTCCTGGTTCCTGACTTTGAATTGGCTCAGCTCTGGCCATTGCGACCGCTTGGGGAGTGAACCAGCAGATAGAAGATCTTTTTGTCTCTCCTCTCTACATTTTCCTTTCCAATACAAAAATAAATAAATCTTTAAATGAAATTATTTCTTTGAGAGGCAGAGAAACATAAGAGACAGATAACACACACACAGACATATGCATGTACACGCAGATACACAAGTACAACATAATGGAAGGTGCAGGAGAGCACTTCCATTTGTTGGCTCCCTTGCAATGACCAGGCTTGCAATGGTCCAGGAGCCAGGAACTCAATCCAGGTCTCCCATGTGAGTGGCAGGGATATAGTTTTAACTTCTTCAAATATCAGTGATGTGGTTCATTCCTTTCTTATATGATTATGGAAAAGGTACAAGTTCTTTTGTACCAAAAGAACCTAGCTTTTGAAAAAAATTTGATTACAATTTGTTTATTTCCATCTTCTGTTTCACTTCCCACATGTCTGCAGGACTCTGGGTGAGGCCAAACCAAAGTCAGGAGTCTGGAACCCAGTGTAGGTTATCCATGCAAGCCATCAATGCTGTCTCTGAGGGTTCACTGTAGCAGGAAGCCAGATCAGAAGTGATGAGTCAAGCCTGAAAACAGGTACTCTGATAAGGATGCAGGTGTGCCAGGTAGTAGCTGAGCCACTGTAGCAAACTCCTGAGCTTCTGTTTTTTTTTTCTTTTTTAAAAAATTTATCTTTTATTTGTTTGAAAGGCAAAGTTACAGAGACAGGAAAGGCATTTTAACTGCCTAGTCAAATACCCACACTCTTTTCTTGGTAGTGTCCTTTTTTTGAGGGGGGGATTCTTTTTTGTTTCTTTTTTTTTTTTTATTAATTACATTGCATTATGTGACACAGTGTTACGGGCACTGGGATTCCTCCCACCCCTCCCCGGGCCCTCTCCCCATGGTGGATTTCTCCACCTTGTTGTATTACCACAGTTCAAATTCAGTTGAGGTTCTTTCATTGGAAGTATTTACCAAGCATAAAGTCCAGCATCTTATTATCCTAATGAGTTCAACGATTTCTTGGTGAGACCATCTCTGGTGTGAAGGTAAAGCCGGCAAAGTATCATCCCAGTCAATTAAAAGCCCCGACATAACATCAACAGCAATTTACAACATTATGACACTAATTGACGTGGTATTGATTAACAATATGTTAATAGGAAAATGCGGGTTCTTAACTACATCCTGTGGCTTCTTCAGAGACATTTCAATTTTTGGTTTATATTCAACTGAGTTCCATACACCTCAAAATGGCTATAGATTACTATTTAGTTGTCTCGTCTATTTTTATTTTAGTATTTGGCTGTTTATAGTGTTGAAGCATGATTTTGCTGTACTAGTTGTTTTCTGGATGGTCTGAACTGGCTTATAACTCTAGCAAAACATGTGTCATCAGTTTAGGTACAGAACATTTTTTTTTGGAGGGGTGTGCAGAGAATTCCCCAATACCCCAGTGAGGCATAACTAATCTTTGTGTCCCTAGTGAGGTATAAGTGAATCCACGCTGATCCTTTCATGTCTGATTCTAAGCTTTCCTTGTTGTTTTCTGTCCATTCTAGGTTTTTTTGTTTGTATGTTTGTTCATTTGTTTTGAGGGGTTGGTAGTGTCCTTTTATGCATTAAAGTTTAACATTTTGTTAATTTTATTTTTATTTATTTATTTAAAAGATTTATTTTATTTTTACTGGAAAGGCGGATATAGAGAGAGGAGAGACAGAGAGGAAGATCTTCCATCCGATGATTCACTCCCCAAGTGAGTGCAATGACTGGTGCTATGCCGATTCGAAGCTGGGAGCCTCTTCCGGATCTCCCACACGGGTGCAGGGTCCCAAACCTTTGGGCAGTCCTCGACTGCTTTCCTGGGCCACAGGCAGGGAGCTGGATGGGAAGTGGGGCTGCCAGGATTAGAACCAGTGCCCATATGGGATCCTGGGCGTGCAAGGCGAGGACCTTAACCACTTGCGCCATCGCACTGGGCCCAACATTTTATTTATTTTAAATTAAGTTCTCTTTTACCTCAGTTTTATTTTGTTCCTTAGGCTTTTGGTGCCATTTATTTTATTTACATTTATCATTATTCAAACTACTTTTTTAACCAACAGTGATTATATGTATTTATAGGATAGTTGTTGTATTTCAATGGATGTATACCATATGTGTTGATCAAAGCAGGGTAATACACACTTCCCCTTGTTTGGTATTATTTTATGGTTGGAGGCTTGGAGCATCTTTTTCCTATCTTTCCAGATACTAGGTTATTGTGAACTATAGTCATTTTACTAGGCAGTGTAACACTGGAAACTCAACTCCTTCAATCTAAGTCTTACTTGGTACTCATTATCCAAACTTCTCCTGTCTGCTCAAACCCTAATTACATGTGATAATCACCAGGCTGTGTTCAGATGGAGGGGCTTTGTTTGTTTTAGCTCCCTTACATGAAAGAGAATATTCAGTATTTGTCTTTGTTTAGCTAGCTGGCTGATGTCACTTAACCTGGTGTCTTTCAGTTCCATCTATTTTTTTTTTTTTTTGCAATGACAGAGTTTTATTCTCTTTTATGGCCAAATAGTATTCCATTATGTGTATATTCCGTGTTTTCTTTATCTACTCAAAGTCATGATGGACAAGTTGATTCCGTATCATGGCTGTTGTGAAGAGTTCTGTAATAAATGTGATGGTGTTGGATAAATGGTTTGAAAATATTTTTCCCTTTCTCCTGATTGTCTCTTCACTGTATTTTGTATGATATGTGGGCATCCCAAATGGTCTGTTAGCCACTGTACAAGCCACACTTGCCCCTGGATTAAATTTGAATTTTGATCTTATTTTTCTTGTGCAATGTTACACATAACCTAATATCACCTGTCTTGTAAAATCAATAATATCTATCATGACTAGCAATTTAAAGTTGAGAGAATACACAAAAGTATTTTGTATGTCTTGTTACTGTGTATTGACTAGCTGCTATTCTTAGTGCATAATTCTCATTTACTCAATAACTGGATAGCATTTTGATGTATTGAATAATGTCCTCAGTGATCTATAAAATCAGCCTCACTTTGTTTCTTTTTCCTTTTCAAGGATATGACTTTAACAGGAAAAATGCATCTCAAAGCATCTCAGACACAAGCAGAAACACTTCATCCGCAAGCAGAGCAAGGATTAGAGAGAGTTGTTGAGGTACCTAAAATGGTAAAGTCTTTAATAAAAGTCTTCTTTGCCTATATTAAAGTAACAGCTTGCTTCTTGTTACTTGGATATTTACACAGAGTTTCCAAAGTATTTCCTCTGTTCTATTTTAGAGGTGTGTTGAACAGTAAGCACCACATTGAGAGGCCCGTATGTTTTGGCTCATTGCTGCTGGTTGTCAGACCTTCTGAGCAAAGGCCCCAAATTCTCTTCAGAAGGGAAATGTTCTAACAACCTCTCTGGCTTGGACACATTCAAATCTAGAAGACTGTCAGAGAATGAAAAGTTCTTATATTTCAAGACCACCTCACTTTAATTTGTAATTAATTAGAAGAATTGTGAAGAGCCTCACAGTGAAAATTTTGTTGAAAAATGTGAACAACTGGTGGCAGAAGTTTATTTAGAAATAAAGCTGCTTTCCGCAATCTATCATTGGTAAACTAACTGTGAGATTCAGAGTAATCTCAGACACATTCCCTGTAAGTTGGAATGTCTTTTCTGTGTATAGAAATCTACATTGACATGAGATAAAACTATGCCCTGTTTTCCAAGGATTCACTGAACAATACAATTAAATAGCAAGCTCCTTTAGTTCCTGAAAATCTGACTCTTTGTACTTAACACTCAAGATTACCCTGTGTTTTTAGGGTAACATCCAAGGATCTTGTTCAGAAGGCAGGAGGAATCTTTTCTTTTTATGAAAACCATGTTGATGCCACCACAAAAGCTGGAGTTACTAGAGTTTGAGATGGTGTGCAATTAATACCGTGTGTTTTCCTATTTTATATCATGTGAAGTATAGAGAAAGATACCATTTTGATGGAAACAGTGAAAAGACCTAGTTTAGACATCATGTTCATTATTTGAAATAACAATTTAAGTAGAAATATCCATTTCTTTTGAATTCTACTAGAACTATTCAGTCAGTTTTAATGTTTGGAACTTCTTCTGGCCATTGGCTTTTGATTGGGTTTACCCTTATGTTAGAGGTAACATATTTCTTAACTTGGTGCCTGGTCGTTGTCCAAGCATTTTTTTCATGGGGTCCTTTATTCCAGACAAGATGTTTTGGGTGCCTTCTCTGTGTGGGAGCAGAACGCTGTCTGTCCTTCCTGTCCAGCAGACTACCCTGGAAGCTTCCCTTGGGCTGGGCATTGCCTGGACAGCCCTGAGCACCATCACCGTTGTCCTGCATCACCTGGTTTGCACTGGGCATGCTGTGTGCAGCACGTGCTAACCGCAGCAGTGAACATCCCATTGTCATTGTCAGGCTCGGGCTCTGCTAATTTTCTGATGCAGCTGTCTGAATTTTTAAAAAAGATTTATTTATTTTTATTAAAAGGCATATATGCAGAGAGAGAGAAAGAGAAAGAGAGAGGAGGAGAGACAGAGAGGAAGATCTTCTGTCCCATGATTCATTCCCCAAGTGACTGCAAAGGCCATAGCTGTGCCATTCCAAAGCCAGGAGCTCTTCTGGGTCTCCCATATGGGTGCAGGGGCCCAAGGCTTTGGGCCATCCTTGACTGCTTTCCCAGGTCACAAGCAGGGAGCTGAATGGGAGGCGGGGCTACTGGGATAGGATCTGTGCCAGTATGGGATCCCAACGTGTTCTTCATGGAATTAATTCTGGTTCCTTTTTTTTTTTTTTGATGTCACAGGTTTTCTTTTTTAAGATTTAAAAATTTTTGTTGGAAGGTCAGGTTTACAGAGAGGAGAGACAGAGAGAAAGCTCTTTCATCTGCTGGTTCACTCCCCAAGTGGCAGTAATAGCTGGAGCTGAGCCAATCCAAAGCCAGGAACAAGGAGCTTCCTCTGGGTTTCCCACATGGGTACAAGGTCTTAGTGCTTTTGGGCAATGCGCTACTGCATTCCCTGGCCACAAGCAGGGAGCTGGAAGGGAAGTGAAGCAGCTGGAGTATGAATTAGCACCCATTTGGAATCCTGGCACATGCAATGTGAGGACTTTAGCCACTAGACTCTTGTAGCAGGTCCAAATGTCAGTCTGAACCTACATGGTTTCTGATGTGCTCACATCCTCATGTGGTAAACAGAAAAAAATAACTTTGGAATTTTTTTGGAAATAATTGTTTTTAAATCTTGATTTCTTTATTCCCTTTCCTATTAAGTATCAGGCAATATTTTAGGTGTAGTTAGTTGATAATTAAAAAACAGACAGTTCTTCTTTTTATTATATAAAAAGGCAAAAGATGCTACGCTTATTAATGGAATATTGTAATAGTAATCAATTACATTGTAAAGAAATATTGAAATAACTTCCTTTTGTTTATTTATTCAATCACGAATAAGTATAGGGCCTCTGTATGTGGTGAATTCTTGAGATATAAAAGATAAGGTAGAGAACATTTCTTCTTTAGTTTTCAAACTTTAAAGTTTTGAAATACTTATTATTTTTTTTTTTAGCCCTAGAGTATCTTTACCCTCTTAAAAATTATTTTAAGGGCCAAAAATAGCAACATGATATATTCATATTAATATAGGATTGTATCAGCTGATATTTGTCATGTGAAGTTTAAAACTTATAAAAAGTTAAATTATTCTCTTAAAATAACCATAGTTGCCTAACTATATACTAACATAAAATAATTGTTTGGATAAAATATTGTCCTAGATAAAAAAAGAATCTGAGAAGAATGGGCTTGTCCTACATTTTTTCCAACTTAACGTACACTTAGGTTTTCATATCTACTTCAGCATTCACTTTGTTATCACATGTCTCAAAAATGTTGGAATCATTTCAATGGTCTGTTACAGATGTGGATCTTGTTCTTTGTTAATGAACTCAAAATTGTACAGATGGTGGCTTCTCAAAGATCAATTGCAGTGTGGAATCAGAATGCAGATACAGGAACTTGTTACATTTCGTTACATTAAAATCCATTGATCTATTTGTTCTTTGAGCCAATCTTTTACTCTGGCTGATTTTGTAATCTCATTCGTTAGTCATTTGAGAAGTATCAGTGCACTGTTTCACCCACCACTGCTTTTCCATCTTCAGTGCAAGTTTCCACACACTGAACAAGGTAAATAATGTCATAATCTTCTTATGACAGTTTTGACCTTACAGACCCCCTGAAAGGGTCTCAAAGACTGTCAGAAATCTGTGGATCACTTTCTGACGTCTGCTAGTCTGTTGAGTGAAGAAGAAGGTGGCAAGAAAACACATTTTGGGTTTAGGTTATCTAAGTTCAAACAAAACTTTGGTCCTTCTTCCAACTTTCATGCTGGCTGAGTGATGAAACTTCTTTACACCTCTGTTTCTTCACTACAAGTCATAGTTACAAAAAAAACAGTTCCTGAATCTTCACACAGGATGTGGGTATACAATTAGATAAAACCATTCTCCTGTTTATTAGGGATTACAATTGTGAGGATGATTGTGATGATTGTTCTAATGGGATATGATACCTGTTCAATAGAGGCAGGGTAAAGAGAAAGTGATGGGATTGGGAAAATTTTGTGGAGGATTTGAGATTAGACAGTGTCTTAAGGGTGTGGATTACAACTTTAGGGCTGCCCTTGCCCTCTTTTCAGGGTTTGCTTTTCTTTCTTTTAAAAAAAATTAATTTGCTATTTTTATTTGAAACGTGTTCAGGATTGGGAACAGAAATAGGCAGATGTCCCTCTGCCTGTTTGCTTGCTAAGTGTCTGTAATAGCTCCGACCTGGCGAGGCTAAAGCCAGACGCGCAGAAGAGACGCAGGAACCCAAGTTTTTCAGCCACTACCTTCCGTTTCCTAGGGTTTACGTTAATAGGAAACTGGAATTGGAAGTGGGACCAGCATGTACCAGTCCAGGCACTCTATAACGAGATGTGGGCCTACTCAGTGGCATCTTAACTGCTAGGCCAAAATTGTAGCCCTCTGAGGTTCTCTCTTTCCAGTTTCCATTTTCTATTTGGTCTAGGTAATCTTCTGAACCAGCCATGGGGGCGTGTGTTCAGGAAGCCACAGCAGAGGAGTTTAAGGGAAAGGGAATGAGCAACAGTGCCAGAACTGGAAAAGAAAACGAATGGCTTTATTCTGTGTAGGCAGTGTAGGAGTGGGGTAAATAACACATATTATCCCAGTGTGTCTACTTTGCCATTTTATGAAAAGAACTTGATTGACTACATTTTACCAACGACACAAATGAAGCTAAGAAAGTGTAAGGAACCTGGCCAAGATCAGACATCTATTAATTTACAGATCCTGGATTTGAATTACAGAGTTCTTGATCTTTTCACAGTGTCCCCCGTAACTTTATAACAAGGTGAATTTAAGGTTAAAGTTTTATTTACAAACTTAAAGAATTAGTTACTTGGCCTGACTTTTGTGGCATTTGGCACTGAATGTTATCTTTTACTGTTAATTTCACTTTTTTAGCAAATGAGTGAGTATTGGAGAACAAAATGACACAATTCTTTTATAAATGTTCTTACTTATATAAATGAAATGAGGTTCGTGTATTATATATATATATATATATATATAGTTTAAGAGCATAATCATATCTCTTATGCTACCTCCAACCTCCATTCCTGGTCCTCCTGCCTTTCTTAAATTTTTGAAAGGTAGACTTTTTAACAGAAGCTGGTGGTATATTTTTAAGGAGTACAAGACAGGTTTAGTAATGACAGCCTATGAAAAATTTCTCATTGGGTTTTGGCATGGAGTTGAAGTGTCAGCTGGCCAGCAGAAATCCCACCCCTTAGGGCACCGAACCTCAGGGGTGGACAGAGCCTGGATGTTTCAGTGAATCCAGAGTTGAGCCGAGGGCCAAGCTGGTGTGAGGGGAAGCAGGCAACTTGTCCCCCATGGCTCTGTTCAGTGTGTACTGGTTGTGACTGTGTTAAGTGTGGAGTGGCAATTGTGAAAGATCACGCCTCACCTAGGTTCGTTTGTGTGCAACAACTGCACCATGGTTGTGTTTTCTGAGACAAGGCTCGGGGAAAATACTTTGCCAGCGTCCCTGCTTTTCTTAGGTCAGTTTATATTTTTCTTTCTGACTCTTCAAAGGAACTTTCAGTTGCAAACATACATTTGGTCAATTTCAAACATATATTTTTACACGGATTTCTGCCAGATAGAAAGTGTTGTGAAATTGAACATGATGGAAGGACCAATAACAAGAGGATTCCTGTATGTTTGCTTTCCCTAACAGAGTGTGGTTGAGGAGCTTCCCGAAGCAGCATCCAGTGTTCTCCAGATGGAGCAGGACGATGTGTCGGAATGGGGAGACTCAGAGATAGAAAGTATGACATTTAAATCTCCGGAAATTTCAGAAGTCCAGGTAGTGGAGAAGACAAGTAAACCCCTGGAAGATGTACAGCTCACCAGAGATTCAAAAGCAGGCAAACAGCTGCTCTTAAAGGTAACAAATTATTTGTGTTGGGAACAAGTTGACATCCGAGGATGTCAGGTGTGAAGCAATGACCCGGCTGAGGACCAAGGTGTGGGGCCGTGGTTCCCCCTGACATGTGGCCGTGGTTCTGAGGGGCCTCAGAAGTACACATTGCTCATGGTGGGAAATGGAACTCATACAGTTTGAAGGGCTTTTAGTCTCATCACTATTTGTAACTCTGGAAAGATAAGAGAGATTTAGATTTTTTCTTGTTTTTTTGAAATTTTTTTAAACTTTTGGAATGGTTTTACATTTCCAAAACAAGCATTGTGAGGTGATAATACGGAATTCTTTTATGCGCCTCAACCCTATTTACCCTGTTAACATCACATGTTAGTATATTTGTCACAATCGATGAACTTTACACCCAAGTTCCATTGTTTTTTATTATTGTTATTCAATATCCTTTTACTAAGGAAAGAAGGAACCTAAGATTCTTGAGAAATTGGCTGAAGTCTTCCAGTTGCCATGTTGAAGAAATCAGAAAGCATAGGCCTGGGACTGGGACTGTGTGAACTTGATGTTTTTTTCTAACTTTGTTGCATTTAAGTTTATCCTAAGCTTTGTCTTTTCTATTGTGAGAATAATATTCCCTAGTTTCATTTGATCATTTTTATGATTTTTATGAATTATTTTTCATATTTGCCCATCAGCCCTACCCTTTTTAAAAAAACTTTGAGACCAACATTTTTCGATTTAAATAAATAAATGTATGTTAAAAGTCTAATTAATAATTTATTTAATAATATATGTTAAAAATATGTTATTAGGGTGCTAAAAAAAGTTGAACCACATCCATCCTCCTAATCAGCCCCGGGGCTCCTGTCCGCCCTCATGTTGGTCAGCAGCCTTCGTGGTCAGTCCCTCCCCTGCAGGCCTCCTTTCTCCCCACTAAGTATTACATTTCTATGAGGCTTCACACAAGTCAACTGGACTTAATCATTTCTTCCACTTCTTGTCTCATTGCTAAAACTGGGACTTGTCTATGACCTTCTGCTTCCCTGGCGTCTGTATCTTTTCTCCTCCACCCCCTGGCCCCTGACCTACCCCATCATGCTGTCTTTCTGAAGCCTAGGCTTGAGGCATGGAATGAAGGTTCCAAAAGCCAGGGCCAATTGAACCCCCTCATTGTTAATCGTCCCTGCCCCCGGGTGAATCTGTGTGTTAGACTTTAAGCATCTCTAAATACTACGGTTCCGTGAAGAAAAATTGTTACGCTGGTGAACACAGAGATTTCCCTTGTCCTTCCTTCCGAAGTTGGGACATTGAAAGTAAAATTTGGATATGAGTTGTAAATGATTACACACTAAGTGTGTTGAATGAAATGGATTTTCTGGACAGTGACTTGGCCACCATGGCCTGTCAGGAATTTAAATCCATCACTGTTATTGAATGCTATTAAGAAAATATGCAAAATTATTTATTTTGCTTTCAAAATTTGTTTTTATTTGAAAGGCAAAGTTGCAGAGAAAAGGAGAGACAAAGAAATCCTTCATCTGCTTGTTCCCTCCTCAAATGGCTGCAATGGCCAGGACAGAACCAATCCAAAGCCGGGAGCCAGTAGCCTACTCTGGGTCTCCTGCATGGGTGCAGGTCTGCATCTCCCACATGAGTGCAAGGGCCAAGGACTTGAACCATTCGGACTTGACCTATCACTCATATGGGATGTCAGCATTGCAGATGGCAGATTAAATAGCTGTGTATTATTGCCAGCCCCAATATATCTGTTATTACTCTGATTTTATAATTGAAAAACCTGAGTGGTAGAGAAGATAAGTAACTTCTTCAAGAAAAGAAACTTGCCAACTTCTGTAGTTAAGGTGTAAAGACAGCACTTCATCTAAGGCTGTCTACTTTTGGAATCTTTATTCTTCAACCCTTTGCAAAACTGTCCTTTCAGAACTACAAGTAACAGATGTCTGGTTAAGTGCAAGCACAGATTGTCAGCTGTAAAGATGACATGGGCTGGAGTGTCCATTATGATGCTAAGAAGGATAGTTTGACAAGGGAGGCTTCGTAAATTGCTGAAGAGGACTCTAAACTAAAGCCAGAAATATTTTGAGGGGAGAAAAACACAATGTCCAGTAAGAAGTTGTGGAATTGTGGCTCAGTCTTGTGAGACACCATGGACCACACCAGGAATGCCATGGAAAATAGTGCTTGAAGAATTCCTGAATCATTTCACTAAATCTTCACCAAGAATCTTACTTTTATTTATTTGTGTTAGAATCTCAAGATCAATTATCTTCTATGGGCTGTATCCTGTGTATTAATATTTAAGGTCATAAGGCTAGTCTGAAGCACAGGAATGAGGAATAACATATTCCAAATCAAGTTAAGTTGAGACAACAAGAAGACCTGTCCAAAGACAGTAATAAGTAGAACTAGCACTGAAGAGTGATAAAGAAGAAATCCAGGACCCACAGCTGCATGAACATGTGCTGGAGAGCCCCATTAAGAAAAAAAGTGTAGAATTTGATAAATAATGACTACACCAGCTGTTTTTGGAAGGTCTTTGGTAAAGACCTCTATGTTCTGGTCAACTACTAAAAGAGCTTAGGAAGACATTGTAGCAACCATAACCTTGGACAGGAATGTTGGACATTCGGGGAGGGAGAATCTCAGGAAAAATAAAGAACTGATCATACTGCCTGAGATTCTAAATGAAAGAGATTTAAGGAATTGTGCAATGTTGGAAAATTCCCCCAAATTCTCACGATTATGAATCATTTCTTTCCTTCAAAGTTAAAAAATATACGAAGATGAAAGAACAAATACATACCCACAGATAAAGATGAAAGTCACATGTGTTAATAGCAATTATTCCAAGAACCCTGAGATCCAGAATGGGTTGAGGCCTGTGAATAATGCTAAGAATGAAGGAAGAATGTATTTTTTTATGTTAGTTTTGGAGCAAAGAGAGGAATAAAGAAAAGATAACCCTGTCATTATGGATGAATAGTGTGATGACAACAGATGACAGAGCTGCCTTAACTTAATTTTTGCTAAAGCTAGAGGTTTTAAGTAAACAGAAGTGCAACAAAGAAAAAAGGAAGCCGATAAACTTGTACTTTGCTTCTTTTAAGTCTGACAAGGAGAATGATCTCTGGAAAGAAAAGAATTGATTAAAGAAACTCAAAAGCTCAAGATTTGTAAAAGATTTTTTTAAAAGTTAGCTTAGATCCCTGAGCCTGCTGGCTCAGCTGGGGAAGCTTCTGCCTGTTGTGCCTCTGTCAGCAGCAGCTATGAGATGCTGAGGCAGTGGGAGAGGTGCTAGAGGCCTTTTTGCTTTTCTGATAATAGCTGTGATTTATGCGGTGTATGCAAAGGGAAGTAGTAGTCAGATGAAACACTAAGGACAAGCCATGGAAAGCCAACCTCATTTCCTTTCCTAACACTAGTAGTCTGAAAATCCGAACAGCATTTGATGGAAGAGGCAGATTTCCAGGTGTGGCATTCTCTCTCTCCTCCGGTAGACACATGTGTGATCTTGAGTCAATGAAGGATGTGAAGACAATGGCAGTGCTTGCTTCATAATTGTTGTGAGCATGACATGTAGATGCTGCGAAACACAGCATGTACAGTGAAATCTGGCATACAGAAAATGTGGCAAACCTTGATAAGCGCTAATATCATCCAAATTTCAGCAGTTTGCTTATAAAATCTTTCCAGTGGCAATTTTGTAAATGATATTATCGTCATGTAAACTGCTGGATAGATTGTAACTAGTTACACAAGGAAGCACAATTAGTGGTATGAAACTGTATCCAATTCAATTTGTTCCAAGATGAAAATACAGAATACTAAAATATTGGATTTGAGAATAACATCTAAAATGCGACTGAAGATTTGGTTGGGTTGGTCAGATCTCAGATGAAATTTATTTGGGATAAACATATGGTGGTTCTATCTTTGGGCCCACTAATGAGATATAAAGGTGTGAGATGTCACGAATTAACACAAGAACTGTGAAAGGACTCAGGAATTTAAGCTATAGTGCCTTTGGTAATAGGAAGACAAATAGTTTATAGTGTGGAGAATAAAACTCTATGCAGATATTTGGCAGTCAAATGGAGAAAAAAATCTAAGTTGTGCCTGCACAGTCCATAAATTTGGAATTAAAGCTTGTGAATGAAAGTTGTAGGTTCAATAAAAAAGAAACATACAGAAATTCCTAAGAACTGGAAAAATTTCAAAGAGAAAGTAGCCATATTTAGATGTAACTAAGTATTCCTGACCGTGGTCAAACCAGGTGATGACCACTTGGTGGAGGTATAATAGGGGAAATTAAAAATTAACTGGTGAGATGGAAAGCTTTGTTCTTTTTGGCCTTCATTTTTCATTGCTTACTTATTCAAGAAGTAGCAATAGCGCTCTATTCCTTTACCAAGCCCAAACTCCCTGTAAAATTTATTAGTACTTCTGGTTATGTGGTTGCTTCCTACTTATTCAGCCATATCTCTGCTTTCTTCAAGGAAGATATTCTTTCTTTCTTTTTTGGCTGTTGAAATTTATTATTTTTTTCTTATTGGAAAGTCAGATTTACAGAGAGAGAAGGTAAAACAGAGAGAAAGATCTTCCATCCACTGGTTGACTCCCCAAGTGGTCACAACAGCCAGAGCTGACCTGATCCAAAGCCAGATCAAAGCCTCTTCCAGATCTCTCATGCGGACACAGGGTCCCAAGGACCATTCTTAACTGCTTTCCCAGGCCTCAAGCAGGGAGATGGTTGGGAAGTAGAGCAGCTGTACATGAGCCAGCACCTATATGGGATCCTGGCACATGCAGCCAAGGGCTTTAACCACTGGGCTACTGTTCTAGGCCCTATTTTTTCTTTCTTAAAGTTAATCTCAAAAATAATGCAGAGTAATTTATAGAGAGAAAGATCTTTGTAGGAATGGTTTCCATGATTTCTGTAAAATCTCTAAGGGTATCTAACAAGCCTACTGTACCCCAGTACATATAATACTTTTGATAATTCTTTATAAAACAAAAGGTATTTGGCTTTCCCCTACCCCCAAAGCAGTATTAATTAGTGAAAAAACAGAATAGCTATAAGCAGGATATATTGATAAACATTGTCCAAATAGTTAGATTCATCATTAAAGTTCTTTTGAGTTTGTGCTTGTAATCATGTTATGTCAAACTTTGAGAAGATAAGGGAATGTTCTTTTTAAAAATATATTATTTATTGTTTTAATTAATGTAAGTGATTTCATGTATTTAATGAGTACAGTTCTGAGAAATAACCATACTCCCCTTCCTCATCCCCCTTTTCCCCTTCTTCCTTTCCTTTCTTTGTTCCCTTTTTCTTTATTTATTTTCTTCTTTTTCTCTTTAATTTTTGCAGTGGCATGCTTTAAGTCCACTCTATATTCACAGGTGTAACTCACCACTTACCCTAGTATTAAATAAGTAAAAAAGTAGGAATATTGTAATTGCACGGGTGCATAAACAAGTGCTAAAAACAATAATCCAATCACATGATGTTTGTTCCATTTCTAGACATTTATTTTTGTATTTTATATCAAAAACAGTAGATTTTTGAAGGGAAAACATTTTTAAAAATAATTGTAAAGTAATAAACAAAAAATATTGGAAGTAAGTATGGCACTAGCATTTTTATTGCTGCCAAGTTTTATATGAAAAAATGTAGAAATGGATTTAGTGGGAAAGAAATCACCTCTAGGATTTATTTTGTTACTTATATAGAAATCGAGGGTTTAAATATGAGGTGTGTTATTAAATATGAGAAATAGACTTAACTCTAATGTTGTAGCTTCCCTTAACAGCACACTTTATATATATATTTTTACAGGAGAAACCATCAAAATTATTGCACATCACAGGAAAAGGTGTTAAGCGAGTACGAAAAAGTAATTTAAGAATTCCACCACTGAGATCAGGAAAGTCTTCAAAATTCCTTCGGGCTCAAAAACTACCTAAAAAGTAAATTCCTTAAGCTTACAAATTTTACCATCTGAAGCAAAATTACTTGGTAGCATTTTTTACGTGAAAATGTGCTTTCTAAAAGGAAAACCAAATGTTTTAGAAGTTCATGAGTGCGACGTGAGACACAGCAGCTCAAAGGAAAAGCTGGAGGCATGCTTGGGGGGTAGATACACTGTTCTCTGTGGTCCCCTCCATTCGTTTTTTGACCAGTGCACCTACTTTAGCAAAGATTACTGGAGTTACTGGAATGAAAGTAGTTCTTTGTGAAGCTTAAAAAAAATAAATGTTGACATGTTAGATGTGAAACACTTGGTTGCTGCAATTCCCGGTTTGGATGAACTGATCACAGAAGTTAATTTTGTTATGATAATATATGACTCAATATGAAATGTTAACAGGTGAATCAAATTGGTAACTTATATGGCTCTTTTTTTTCTATGATTATGTTTCATCATTCATCCTTCTCCACCTCCATCTCACATTTTTAAACATGGTTTTCTCATTATCCTGGATTACATATACATCCACACTTTTGAATAATAGCATGTAAATGCAATTTAGATTATGGTTTACCTTTCAGTATTTGCTTTGTTGAAACCCTGGTTTTCTCCTTATTTCACCACTGGGTTTTTAATGGGCTGGTTTATTCTAGAGCATTCTTTATTTAACTCTTTACGGGGGTTTAAGGAAGCTTTAATTATTAGCTTTTGTTGTTGCTTAGGGCACTGAAAGGTGTGCTAGACATTGAAGACAACCTTTTTATGGCCAGCCTAAACTTTGTAAGTGGATATTACTCACAATTTAGTAGTTGAGAATAGACTCACGGGAAAAGAATTCCAAAGTTTATGAAACAGCCAAAATGGCATTTAAGTGACCCTGTACATGCCATTGCTTATCTGCATGGCTTTAAGCTCATTTAGTTAGCAAGATTATATATTAAAACAAATAGTGACAGCAGACAACAAGTATTTTAGCTTCAATAAATAGTTACTGTCAGATTACCAATGAAGCAGAAACATCTTGATTTTTTTTTCCTAAAAATCCTCACATTTAGTGCATTAAGCAGAGTAGCATGGCCACACACAGAGCCGAAGTCTTTTCTTTTTTATGTCTTCGTGTTTCAAAGAATGACAAATAGTCCTGTTTAAGGAGAGTGTGCTATAAAAACACACAGCCTTCCCTGAGCATGCCAAAAATATTTGTAGATCTTATTGATCTGTATAGTGGTGCTTTCATTCATTACATCAAAATTTTGCACTGGGGAGAAACAATAGGAATATAATGATATTTTAAAGCTTACTAAGAGAATCTTAAATTTTTTCGTGGAAATCTTTTACTTACAACTTTTCCCCCCTTGCGTCATCTTTTTTTTTTTTTTAAACAGTGACTAACACACAGATTGAATGGTTTTCTTGAGAGTTTAACTCTGTATTGCAGCATAGTACTATTTATCTCAGTATCCCAGGGAGATTCACTTGTTCATCTGTGTTGTTAGAACCTCATGAGAACATAGGAATTCAGATTGGTTGAGACAGTTTTTACTATGAAAATAAAAATCAGTAATGTAATCTAAAGCATATTCCACTAGTTGGGACCTGTCCCAGGCAGAATGATAGTATAGGTGAGCTTGACACCAGAAGTTGCCTTTTTTTGCGCCTTGTATTATACAGACCTTTCTTAGGAACCCAGAGTGCCTGGAGCCCTGTTTTCCTGGACACCCCCTTTTACTACTAGAGATAGGTTTCTTGGTCTCACATGTTTCCAAATGCTTTAAATTACCTTTCTTTTCTCACTTGAATGGGTACACATGTCACAGCATCATGGCTGTTTTGTGAATCCCGTACTTCCTATTACTAATTCAGTAATACATACACTGTGCTTAGTAATGAATTAGTTGTGTTGTGCAAATTAACAATGGTGACAGAAGTAAAGTAGGTATTTTTTGAAAGACCTTCATTGACTGAGGAAGATGTATCTGTTGTTACTATTGTTTAAATAAGTTCCCACAAAGGTAAGAAAGCAAGATTTTTGTTTTTTTGCCTTTATTAAGACTTTCAACAAAGGCCGTAACAATGTGTGTGTGTACTGAGATTCTGATCTAGGACAGCCAACTTTGAACTCTAAATCCTTAAATAGTTTGCCACTATCCAAGACATTCCCAGACATACAGAGCTGTCAGTGGACACACCATCATTGACGCACTAGACAGAGGGTCAAAATGGACAGCACAAACCTAGGCAATATGTGAAGAAACATTTCTGTAAAGGGGAAAGAGAAAGAAAAAAAATAAACATTATAGTGAAGTGTACTCTTGACCTGCTCTTTAAAGAACGTTTAGGTGTGGATTGCAAGTAGAATCTGTCTTTAAGCAAAGGCATCTGCAGGCCTAGCCTTGTGATTTGCCTTGGGAAACAATGATGGAAGCTAGTGTCTGCCATGTGAGAGACACTGCCCTGAAGGTACCCACTCTTCTTCCTTAAAAGAGCTGTATCTAAGATGCATTATTATTTTGTTTTTCCAAACTTACAATGGTATAGAGAAATATAACCAAGTGAGCATTTCAAACAGGATTTGAACACAGGGTATTTCATTCAAGAGTCTTTGGTCCTAACTGCTATACTGGAATAATTAATAGGAAAGACTTTTAACCATCAAGGCTGTATCTGAATTCCAGCTAGCTAACTAATTTTGTAACCTATCCCAAATAAGCCTACTCCACAGTAAGGACAGCAATGTCCAAAATATTGTAAAAGTTAGAATGTGTGTAAAGAACCTAGTGCAGGGCCCGGCGGCGTGGCCTAGCAGCTAAAGTCCTCGCCTTGAACAAGCCGGGATCCCATATGGGCACTGGTTCTAATCCCGGCAGCTAGACTTCCCATCCAGCTCCCTGCTTATGGCCTGGGAAAGCAGTCGAGGACGGCCCAAAGCTTTGGGACCCTGCACCTGTGTGGGAGACCCGAAAGAAATTCCTGGATCCTGGCTTTGGATTGGAATAGCATTGACCATTGCGCTCACTTGGGGAGTGAATCATTGGACGGAAGAACTTCCTCTCTGTATATCTGACTTTCCAATAAATAAATAAATCTTAAAAAAAAAAAAGAACCTAGTGCAAAGCCTGGCACATTGTGGTCAGTAAGTATTTATGGATTGGATACCAGGAGGTACTGGGGTTTAGGAAGACAGATTATCTTGTTCAGGAAGACAGGAAATAGTCAAGTTTCAGCAGAGAGAAAAGGGTGATAGACCCAGGGTTTCATTGATGTTAGTTAGTAACGTGTATACTGCATTTGTCTTGTTTTCAGGAATATGAGTAGCACTTGAACTGAGTTGTAAAGGACTAATGCATTGTGTATGACTGTGGTGTCCCTGGAATGAGTTACAGAAATTGGGAGAGATTGGGGATGGGATGGTAAGGGGTTTGCCTTTAACTCTGTTGATCCTAGAGTGTATATAGAACATGTAGGTTGAGATGTTTGGTAGTCAACTGCACATACATTTGTAGCTCTGGACCATGGCCTGAGATTGTGTTACTACATTTTAAAAAAATAAGTCATTACAATAGTTTTACATAACATCCTCCTGCATTTAAATATCCCTCTTAGAGCTTGAATGGAACTGTCAATACACATATTCTCCATGTAACAATCACAAACGGGTTAAAGAAGTTCCCTTTCTTGTCCCTGTTGCAGAATCCCGCCGCGTTACCCTACACACCACTTTCATGATCTGTGCAGCACCGTCCCAGCCCAGGAGCTGCCTGTTGACCTGAGCCTGGCTTCTCGGCTGTATCACACCACCAACAAGAAAGGCCACGACGTGCTACGCCAAGCGTTTGGATTTCCCTTCTTAGATGATCGCTTTACAGAGGAAGAACAAAGAGCCAGGTGAGAATTGCCCTGATGTTTTTGTCTTAAACTGTTATTTAAATTGTCACAAACCTTCTTGGTTTTCGAGGTTTGATTCAGTCTGTGGCTGCCGTGTTGCAGTCACGGGACTTACTTTGCTCTCCAAGTACAGCACAGCCGAGGACAGTGTCTCCATTTTATAAATTAGTTAATGAAAGAGAAAAAGAGAGTGAGGTTTTCTTTTCCTGCCCCCCGACTGTCCAAAGCACCGATTTTTATTGCTTCCGAGAGGGATTGCATGCCCGAAAGTCTCCTGCTTTTTAAAAGAGCTAAGAGAAATCTTAAAAATCACTAACTGCTTTAGGAATATTAAAAGTATCAATTAGAAGCATTACATTGTATAGCATTATTGTATTGCATTCTATTATTAGCGGTATTTTAACTATTCTAGGTATATTTTGGATAATGCTTTAAAATTAATCTTAGCTAGAGTACCAAAAGATTGTAACCTATTCATACTTTTCATGATCTATTCTGAACCCTTTTCCTCAAACTCGACTTTTAGTAACACTGGAACACTTCACTGTGTTCTTCCGTGGTTTAAAGTTACCTGGTTTCTCAGTGTTTAGTAACAGCAATGACTTTCCCTGAATTCCCCAAGAAATGTCATCTTCATGTTTATCTTCTCTTTAGTCAAAAATGTGTCTTTTTTACATTTGTTTGTCCATTTATAATTTTTTTAGCTTAAAATCTTTGATCAAGTTTTAAAAAAAGAACTTTCAAATTAAAATATGTTAACATTCACAAAATATGTAAACATTATATACATATGTGTACTGTTTAATTCACTTCAAATATAAATACTTTGTAAACACACATCTATACTGTTTTCTTGAAAACTGGATTCATGACAAGAATCATAAAGTAAGGAAAGAAGGCACATCATAATGCATGGTGCATTTCAGTTAAGAAAGCATCTATAGATATTCCAGATAATGACAGTGACACATTTTTACTGTTATGCCTCTCCCTATATTAAGTTCCTGATATAAGAGAAAATTTGAAGAATTTATCCTTGTTCATCTGACTTACTCTACTTGGTGTAATGATCTTCAGATCCACACATTTTGTTGCAGATGTCGAAATTTCAAAACTGCTCTAGTAGCTCTGGTTAAAACAACAGTCCTGCTTCAAAGTCTTCAGAATTTCTCCTAAAAGCTTAAGGCTGGCAGTAAGAAATGAAAAAAACCCGACGTAGTAGAGATGAAATCCTACTATTTTGAATCATCTGCATTTGCATTCTGCAAACCAAGCACATCATTTTGAGGACTTAGAGCTTCTATTATTCATGCACAGTGTTAAAAATGTTGGTTTCTTTCCATTCCTGAAAATATTTTTCTTCAAGAAGACCTCACTTTCCTTTTCCAAGAGAGTCAATAAGAGTTCTATTTGATGATGATAATTCTTGGCAATTTGTTCCTAAGTACCAAATAAGAAGTTAATTTAAGTGCTGAATATTTAATTCTCTAGCATCCATCTCTTGAGGATTACCTTGCTAAACATAGCTTAACCTTTCCAAAGTGTATCTGTCTGTTCAGCCTACAAATTTGCAGAAATGTATGATTTTTCTGCACTAATAAGTTTTCTCAAGAAAGGTAATTGTAAACATAAAATGAATACTCTTTCGTTTGGGGGCTTTTTATATTTTCTTTGCAATGAACAGTTACTTTCAAAGAATAGTAATACTTGTTTTAATACTAGTGTGGTATGTAATGTTTTTATTTTTTAAAGGTTTATTTATATATATTGGAAAGGCAGATTTACAGAGAGGAGAGGCAGAGAGAGAGAAAGGTTTTCTGTCTGTTGGTTCACCCTCAAATGGCTGCCATGGCCAGAGCAGAGCCAATCCAAAGCCAGGAGCCAGGAGCTTCTTCCTGGTCTCCCAAGCAGGCACAGGATCCCAGTTCTTTGAAAGCAGTCTTTCATCCTCGACTGCTTTCCCAGGCTCTCAGCAGGAAACTGGATCAGGAATGGAATAGCTGGGAAACAAACTGGCACCCATAAGAGATGCTGGCACTTGTAGGTTGAGAATTAGCCACTTGAGCCATCACGTTGGCCCCATATTAATATGTTCCTGGAAAACATAGAATATTTAGTGGAAGGTAAGGTAATAGATACTTTACACTTAAGCTTATTTGATATATCAATGCATATTTATTTTGCTAATTGGCAATTTAGATGAAAATTCAAAACAATATTCCATGTTGACCATATTTTTGCATTAGAAATGACTTTTATGCTATATAGATAAGTGTCTAGGCATTTAGTTAGAATTCTTGAATGAAATTTTAGATTCAAGTTTTACTGAAGCAGGAATAATCATTAAAATAGTTTGTACAGTTAGGCTAATGTTTACTGTTTAGTAACCAGCTTTCCAGACATCTCTTGTGTAGCTTTATGTTTAAGCCATGCATGAGATTCACTCTGTTGCATGATGTTTTTCCACTCACAGTTATATGTGAGTATGTGCATTGTTTCCTGATAGTCACTCATTTAATCAAGATGCAGTGGCAGGTTTTGACAGTTTTTAGCACTGTCCATTTCCTTATCTTCTTGCCTGTCAGTCCTATGAATTTATTTCTAGCCTGCTGAAGACACATATGTTTTTATTTTTGAAATTTGTATCTGGTAAGATTGAGCTTTTATTTGTTCATTGATTTTTTTGTGTCTGTAAACGGAACACAATTCATGTATTTCATATATAAAGTTTTAAGAGCATAATGATACTTCTTAACCTACCCTCCTGCCTTATTCTTCTTTACTTCATAATTTTAACCCTCCACTAAACAGAGAATTCAGCAAGTAATAAGTAGAAAAACTCCTGTTCCTTCAGAGTGTAGACATGGCTATAAACAATAATCAAAGCGAATCAATGAAGTTTGCTCATACACATTGCCTTTTCTCTACTTTGTTTATTAGTTATCACACATCCAGGAAAACATGTGAATTTTTCTTTCTTTGGGACTGACTTATTTCACTAAGTATAGTTGGTCTCCAAATGCATCCATTTTGTTCTTTTTAATTTTCTTCTTTTTCTTCTAAAATACTTTTTTTTTTTTTTAAATTGGAAAGACCTATGTACAGAGAGGAGATAACAGAGAAAGATTTTCTATCTGCTGGTTCACTCCCCAAATGGCCACAATGGCCATTGCTGAGCCAATCCAAAGCCAGGAGCCGGGAGCTTCTTTCAGGTCTGCCACGTGGGTACAAATATCCAAGGCTTTGGCATCCTCTACTGCATTCCCAGGCCGCCATCAGGGATCTAGGTGGGAAGTGGAGCAGCTGGAACATGAACTGCTGCTTGTATGGGATCCTCACTCATGCAACCAAGCTATCATGCTGTGTCCTCTTCTTTTTTTTGAATACTTGAATAGTATTCTATTATGTATCTATAACACTACTCCCATGCTTATAGCAACTCAACTTATAACAGCTAAGATATGACAATAGCCCCAATATTCATCAGCTGATGACTGGGTGTAGAAGTAAATTTATTTTTAGTTGTCTCTTGGCTATTATTTTTCTGCTTCTTGAAAGTTAATAGCTCAGATTCTGTGGAGCTTTCATTCATTTCTTATTGATTTGTAAGTGGTATTTTTATATTGAAGATTTAATTATTTGTGATGCATATCATTGGTGTTTTTTCATTTCTTGTTTGCTTTTCAGTTTTGCTTATGGTATTTTATGCTGTACAGAAATCTAGAGTTTTTAAATGAAAGGTTATTTGCTTTTATTGAAAAGGCAGATCGATTTACAAAGAGAAGGAAAGACAGAGAGAAAGATCTTTCACCCACTGGCTTGCTTCCCAGATGGCCTCAGTTGTCAGAGGTGAACTGATCCAAAGCTAGGAGCCAGAAGCTTTTAGGTTTCCCATGTGGGTGCAGGATCCCAAGGCTTTGAGCTATCCTGTGTTGCTTTCCCAGGCCAGAAGCAGGAAACTGGATGGGAAGTGGAGCAGCCGGAATATGAACTGGTGCCCATACGGGTTCCCAGAGCTTGCAAAATGAGGATTTAACCATGAAGTCATTGCATTTGGCCCAGAAATTTAGATGTTTTTTATACAGTAAAAGCTAGAAATTAATTTTGTTTATTCTAATCTTAGAGGCTAAATCTTTCCTCCCTGTTGCATTATTGAGTTCTACATGGTAAATGTTATTATATGCTTGTTTGTTGTGCATACTATATGTCATGTATACACATTTATAAAAATAACCTTGTGGATGTTATTTTGATAACTTTGATTTCTTATATTCCATCCTAGGTCTGTATATATTTTGATGTAAACCTAGGTATATGAGTAATTATTTTAAAAACATTTCATGATACAAAATCATGCATAATTATTGAGTTCCAAGTATTTCTGTACGTGTCTGTATTGTGTAGTGTTCAGTAAGATAAACATCTAATTCCTATGAGTAATTATTTTGACTTACTATTTGAACTGCTTGCAGCTTACAAATCAACCATATAGGGTGTACTTCCATCTGAAATATTTTATTCAAATGCTCAAAACAAGATAGAGATAATTGAAATGAAAACAAAAAATCATCCAGCAGAAAATGCCTTGAGCTATGATGCATTTGTGATTTAACTTTGTATTAACGGTAACATTATGAAATCAATGACATGATTCCACTTTCCAAATGAAGAAAATGCAAAGCAGAAATTAAATAGCTAGTGTATATTGATGTAGATGGTAAGGGCTATTTCATAAATGCAGGTCTCTTACGTTCTCAATATCATGTCTATTAGTTCCTACCACTTTGTGAATTTGTGAGAGACACTCATGCCTTTCTCTTTGTGCTTCATTTTGAAAAGTCATTCTCTTTGTGTTTCAGGACCAGCCCTGATCTAAGCCAGAAGGAATCTGAGGAGTTGTAGATGGATAGGGAGTTTGTTTTACTTATGCTTGGCTGTTTGCATTAGATCCATTGAGGCCACATTTTTGAAAGGTTTCTGTCTATACGTTCAGGGAGATC